AATATTATATATTTATATATATATATATATATATATATTCGAGCCAATTCGAGCTGAAACGAGTGAATAAATCTTTGTTCGTGTTCGACTCATTATGCCTAACATGAATATGAGTTGCTTAACAAGTCAAACACGAGCATTTCGCAAACGACGAGCCAATTTCATAGCCCTATCGACACTGCCTTTTAAATCTCTCGAATGTGGCAAGCTACACTTCCTTGTTAGAGGATTGATCATATGATTCGACATGTTCTCTATGATAATACTTGGAAGACGATTGATTCATAAGAGAAGAGATGCAAAACAAATATTGAATGCCAAAGACTCATCATTTGCTATTTATAAGAACAAAGAACAAGAAAATCAAGAGGTTTCAATCATTGAATAATTGATTAAGAATAAATGTTATCTACTGTTGGCATTAAATTCTCTTATTCTTATCACATCATCATTTTCAAGAAGTAAGAGAATCAGATAACTAAAATATGTACATAAAAATATGACACCATTAATCACAAAGATATCTAATGATCCGAAAGAAGAGAGCACGACAAAAGAGGGTCCACCGATAAAAGACTAGAAGGTCAACTTATCCAACCAGAGCAAGCAAAGCCAAAGCCGAGCAAGTCAGGAAAAAGACTGAATCTGAGTCGATCAGTCAGAAATGAGTGAAAGAGATATTTAAACTAACCACTACAAGAAAGTCTACCGAAGGCGGCAACCTACCTTCAAGTAGATTTGAACCTAGGAAAAATTTGGTTCCTCAATATCAGCAATCATCTCACAGACGTCTTTTGAGATTAATACTTAACAATGCAACAAAGAGTTTTGTAGACATCCCTCAGACTCTTCTCGTTGAGGAGCGAGCTATTTTATAGGTAATGGTGATTTATCATACTCTCAATAGTCCAACGTCGCTCTGTCGACATGAGCTCCTCACCAGGCATCAAGGGTCAACAATCAGACTAAATCAAATGATCAACAAAACCTAATATATTAAATCGATCCTGCTGACCCGAAAATAATCGACAATGTCAACTCAATCTAATTGGTCAGATCAGCCTTACCAAGCTATAGTCATGCAAATTCACATGATCTAGTCAGAAAACCGTCGAGTGACAAGCTTATACTTATAAATACTTGGAATATCATGTACAAATCTCATTAAAGCAGATGGAAAAAATATAACATAACTATATTGCATTTTCTCCCCCTATAAGTATAAATATCATTTTATGTAGAAGGGTATAAAATTTTAGCCAAAAAGATCAAAAAAAAAGTCAACATGATTAATATAATTTTTTGTTTGTTATAGTTCACTCTTCTCTCTTTCCATCTCTTTCCATCTCCCTCATATGTTATGCTTGTTCTTTACTGTGTGATTCACATATAAATCATGATTCAATAGATATGTAAAAACATAATAATTAGGTTGTCATTTCATTAGGTTTGTATTGAAACGACTGGAAAAAAGAAAGCATCACAAAAAAAAAATCATTACCAAATGAAATCATTATACCAAACCACACTCTCAATAGTCAATCATCATTCCTATTCACATAAAGCTAACAACAAACTGAAAAAGCAGAAGGAGAAGATTGGCAACATTACCTCCTCCATTTCTACTCAATTGCAGAGAAAAATCCAGCAGACTTCCTCAAACCAGACTCGAGCTCCCTTCCCCTGATTTATCCACCGACACCACCATCCCCTGCTGCAACTCCCCCTCATTTCTCGCATAACTCTGCTCCAAACCCCCCAAAATCACATTTTTTGACTCCACCGCCCTCCGGCAGATAGGGCAAGTGGAATTTGACCCAAACCACATGTCGATGCACTCGAGGTGGAACCCATGGCGGCAACATGGAAGCCTCCGAGCTTTCTCTCCCTCACTGAGCTCGGAGAGGCAAATGGTGCATTCACTCCCATCTTTGAATTCTGCAGAGCTTACAATGGTGACTGGTAGCGATTGGAGCACGTCGGGATCCAATGCCCGGCGTGCCAGGGGGTTTAGAATAAAGCGAGGCAGTATGTTTCTGAGGACGTGGTTGGCGCCTAGGTAGTGATTTCTGCAGAGGATGTGAAAGAGGAACAGGAGGGAGAGGAAGAAGAAGACGATGAAGATGCCCACCATGACTTCGGTGGTGAATGAAATAGAGAGTTTCGGTAGGGCATCGCTGGCGGCGGGCGGCGGCGGAGACATTGTTGTTGGATTTAGAAGCGGCGGGGATGGGTTTGCATAGATCTAGGAAGGGTTTTTGTTCGAAGAAATTTGGTGGCGTGACGGCACTTTATGCTTTTGTATTGAATTTTGAAAGCTAAGGCGATGGAACAGCGGTTATTGAACTCCAATTGGAGAAAAACTAAGCCGGTCTTTGCGGATTTAATAACAGTTCTAGTTTAAATTTAGTCCAACACTGAAAAACTGAAAAGTAAATTCAATGTTCCGCTAAATCGAATTTTCTCACGTTTCGTCTAATTTTTCTTGCGTTCCGTTTCTTTTGTCACGTAAATTCGAATTTGTTAAATCCGAGTCGTCGGCGAATTTACAATCGTCAGCTTCGAAGCTTCTCTCTGTCAAAATGAATTTGTCAAATTCTCATTTATTAGAAGTATAATGATTGATATTGAGAGTGTAATTAAAGTTAGGATTGAAGTGGTGCATATTATTCTTTAGGCTAAGAATAAAAAAAGACTTTGATATAGGGCATTTACATACATGCTACACAAATTTTATGTATTTACATGCATGTATATCATTCAAATCTTTGGTACCACATAAAATATATGACTTCACACCTGAATTCAAGGAGATAGTCCAGGTGGGCCAGTTGTATAGAAAAATGTGTGGACTGCAACAAGGAATGAATCATTTGATCTTGAGGTCATCTGTTAGTTGTATGATGGGATATGAGGGGCCATTTGTCCTAGCGTCGGCCCCGTGACAACCAAGAAATCATGTGTGTGTCTATACATAGGAGTGTAAAAGAGCTGAGCTTGTGTTAGTCCTGGCTCGACTTATGTTCGGCTTGTTAAAAAAAATTGTTGTTCGTATTTGACTTGCTAATATATCAAATGCCAAAAATGTGGTTGTGTTCGACTCATTGGCTTAACGAGTCGAATAAGAGATGTTCGCGAAAAATGAGTTATTTTGACATCCATAATCACACAATCGTAGGATGTTTAGTATAGAGACGGGATCTGAATCTTATTGTTTATATTAAAATATTTATTTTAGTAAAATATAATATATTTTTATCATATATTTTTAATTAATATTTTAATTGATTATAAATAATACTCTCAATTAACTTATTTAAATTTCAAGCCAAAATGAGCCGAACATTAACGAACAAATCTTGTTCATGTTCAGCTCATTTGCTCAGCAAACGAATTGAACACAAACTACTTAACAAGCCCGACACGATTTTTTCTAGAACAACAATCGGTTTTGACATATATATATATATGTATATGTATATATATATATATATA